TAAAGTATGGATTTTACAATTCAATTGAACATAGACAAATCTTAAACCCAACATACCTCAGATTAAAATAGCACAAAACCTTTAATAATTCCTACATAATAAAGCAAAATATTTATCAAATTAAAGAAAAACTCTTATGAACAACATGTAAGAAAAAAATCTACTCAAAATATTTTCTATCAAATATGTAGATCCAACCTAAACAAAATAGAAAATATGACAAAAAAAAATTTAGAACTAATATGATAAAAATGGCTAAAACCCAATAACCCAACAAATTCTTAGCAATCAAAAGAGAAACACCATTATAAAGATAAATTAAACAACATCAAAACCATAATTAAAACTACATTGAACAGCAAATATTAAAAATAATGCTAACAGAAATCAAATAAAAGTCTCACCCATAAAAAAGATTATTAATAACCAAAAGATCAAATACAAAAGAAATATTTAAGGAGAGAAAACCTCAAACCTAAAAAGAAATAAACAGTTTTCAAAAAAAAAATAAGAAAAAAAAAAGTAAAAAAGATAAAAAAACTCTAAAATGATTGAAAAACAATATAGAACCTTTATAGACTTGACACCATTGTTTTGTATTTTACACTACATTCTTTCTTTGATTTCAAATTCATTTAATGTTAGCTCAGCCACTAAAACAAAGTTTTAGAAATAGGGAAAAAAAGCGTAAAAAAAACAATGTAAACAATAGAGAATGTTAGGTAGTAAAAGAAACTTCTATAAAAAGAAAAAGAAATCGTAAAAAAAAAATATAAAATTCAAACACATGTCAAACTGAGGATCCTGAATGATCCTTTTAATCTATAGGTGTATAGATATCATATTTTTCCTTTCTCTCAAACCTTCCTTTCTTTTTTTTTTTTTATTCAATTATAGCTCACAAAATTCTTTTATTATCCTTAACATTTGATCAAATCTTTTTTCTATTATTTTTTGGACATGTGTTGGTTGAGTAAGTGTCTATAATAAATTTGTAGACAAAATTATATGGTACTTAGATACTATATTTAAATAAATATAAGGAAAAAACGAAAAATGAAATGAAAATATTTTTTTTCGATATCATATAAATTAAAATAAAAAAGAGGAGTACTTAGTTCTCTTAATTTTTTTAATTTTTTAATTATTTCAAATTAAAAAAAGAATAAAATGATTATTGTTTTCTTTAACCTTTATTAAATTTTGAAGTTAACTATTGTCAAATCCATTAGTAGCTCTTCTACATTTTATAATAAGTTTTTAGAAGATATTTGATTTCTTGCAAATAAAAGTTATTGTACATAATTTTACAATATAATTTGACATTAAAAATTTTGGTTTGATGCTATATGTTTTTATTTAAATATTATATGTTATTTAATTAAAAATGTTATAATTAAAAATTAAAAATTATAATGAATCATTTTTTTCTTTCCTTTTTTTTTAATCAAATATGATTTTTCTGGTAAATCAAACATGGTTATTAGGATTCTTTTTTCCTTTATTAATTTTAAGTATCTAAGTAAGGGATACATATATATTTTTTACCTTTAAAAATTTTTTATTTCTTTTTATTTTTTATTGATATCTATCCACATATTGAGTAAAAGTTCAGCACTTTATAAATAAATTACACTATTAATGATAAATTAATCATCTTTGTGATTATAAATCATCAATTTATTTTGAAAATAAATATTTTAATTTAAATAGCACATCCGGGAGAGTTTTAAAAAAATATCATTTTTTATGCTTTAAAAAATCATTTTTAAAATAGGAAAACTGATCTCATTTATACTTAATCAACTTTTAAATAAATATACAACTTTAATCATTATACCAGCTTTATGTGTTTGACGTGATATACGATTCTCACGTGGTGATGAAATATGTATACGTGTTAATTGAATTGATTCAATTAATTTAAATTATTTAAAATTAAATTAATTTTTTAATAAAAATAAAGAAAATTTATTAATTATAAAAATTAATTGATTGAATTTAATTTGATTGATTTAATTATTTTTTATTAATTAAATAATTAAATATATTTAAATTAAATTAAATTTTAAATTTTTTATGTTTATAACAAAATAAATAAAATAGTTTAATAAAATATTCAATTAAAATTATAATAATATAAAATAAATAATCTATTTTTATATTTAAATTTTATATTTGAATTTTGTTATATTTGAATTAAAATTTTAATTAATTATGTTTTTATATTAAATTAACTAAAAATTAAAATTACTTAAAAATCATTTTCGGTAACTAGGTTATCAACCAATTAATCTATTGAATTTTGAACACCCTTAACAAAATTGTTTGGTTTGGCTTTTATAGGTATAAATGAATAAAATTTTTTATAAATCATTCATGAATATATTTGATTTTTATTTTATTTATATTTATTTATTAAACAAATCGAATAAGACTAATGATTTATTTAATTTACTTATGTTTATGAATAAATTTATTTATTATTTATTTGTTTAATAATAATAATAATAATAAATTATATTTTTATCATTTATTTTAATTTTATTTATATTTATTTATTTAAATTTATTTAATTATAATTTATTTATTATTCATAAACATTATATATCTTTATAAATATATTCAATTAATATTAATAAATAAATTCATTTAACTTAATAAAATTGAACATAAATATCTTATCATTTAAATCAACTAAAATCGAACTAATAAAATAATTTTTATACCAAACACAAATCAAATCCAAATACTTTTAAAAATATAAAAACAAATCACAAAAATATATCCAAAATTTTCATAAGCCGTTCGATTACTGCCCTATTAGCTTGGGTTGGAAAGGGAAACGGGGAGGAAAGGGAAACGGAAAGATTAAAAAGGAATGATCTTTATTACTTAATTGTTACTACCATTTTTACAGATTTCCAAAATTAAATCGCCTCTACAATAGTATGGTACATGTTCATGTGATGACGATACCTTTAGGTCTCTAGACTCCATAAAATCCTTCCCTTTCCTCCTTGTTTTTACCTTTTTCTTCCTCCCATCACCCACAGCCATGTCTCCCAGCAAGCTTGAGTCCACTGTAATGAAATTTTCTGTCCCTCTTCTTTTTCTCTGCACATTTATATATATGCATGTCTTACATGCCTTTGTTTACATGTCTTTGCTGCTTAATTCTGCAAAATTTTTTACTTTGCTTGTTGGGTTTGTTGCTTTGGTGTCATTAGGGTTTGTTTCTCAGTCTTTCTGCCGGTGGGATGTTTGGTTGCTGCTGAATTAGTATCTTTTTTCTGTTATCCTATATTGGTTTTTTTTTCTTTGTAAAGAATTTATCATTTTTTTGGGTAGTAGATATAACTATTTTTGGGTTATAGTTATGAAACTGACCAAAGCTGAAATTTTTGAAAACTTTACTTGATCAGAAATGGATAGCTGGTTGAAAATTTTGAGTTGTGTATGTAAAACAGATAGCATAGGACTTCTAGAAGTTCTGAATTTCTAATTTTAAGGGTTTTCGTAATCTATGGAATTCAATTATCTTGTTGAAAATTTTAGTTTTTGGAGATGAAAGGTTTGTGTATTCATGCACGTCTGGTGCATTGTATTAACATTCGTCTCTATTTGTTGATTCAAAACGATCTGGCTCTGGTTGACCTGAACTCTGTTTGGCTTGTTAAACCGGCAATAGGATGTTTAGTTCTCTCTCCCTGACTCTTTTATTGGATTCATTTTCTTCTCTCATTAGTCATTTCTTCATATTAGACAACCTGCTTTTAGAACTTACTACAATTCTATTGGGGATCACTGTATTTATGGAAGAATCAGACGAAGTTTACTGCTGGAACTACTCTAATTTCCATATAAGAAGCCATGTGGAAGATTTGCTGATGATCATTGTGGTTCATTTGGTTAAATACTTAAATATGTTAATTGCAGTATTCTTTCCTTTAAAAAAAAAGCATTTTTGGACATTTATTGAAGTCATGAGTCAGTCTTTGTAGGGTTGTTATTTCAAAATCTATTTTGAGGCACTGCTGAATGATGTTTCGCTTGGTGAAGAATTATGATAGAAAAAGTGAAAGATAAGGTCAGGTGAAACAACTAATTGTTTTCCAATCTTTAAAATGCACTAATTAATCTAGGCTTTATTTGGTTGTTGCTTTTGTAGTACTTGCTTTTTGCATCCCTCTATTTTGCTATAAAGTACAAGCAAATAATAAAATACAAAATCGTATTTGATTGAAAACGACAAATGGCTACACTAAAATATGAATTCAAACGACATGCTTCTGTGTAGAGGTAAAATCATACTTTTTTAATCCTTGAAGGTCAAAACTTTGATTTTTTGTATTAGAAGAGTATGTCATGCTTCCAAAAGCTTGTTTGACAAAGTAACAAACTAGCAATCAACCACAGCCTTGGAGAATTTGATGCAATTATGTCCTTCATCAATGGGTTTTTTGTGTGAGTTAACATTTATTACCATGAGGTATAGTTGCGATCATTGTCATCAATTATGTCCATCAATGGTTTATATATCTTAAAAAGGCATATCTTGTTTTCTGGTTGGGATCAATGTCATACGTATCTACTTTGAACAGGCTTCGTTTGAACATGAGGATGCAAGTATTTCATCTTTGAGGTCAGATAACGGTTTTGTTGATTCACTTTCTCTTTTCCATTCGGAGAAGGCAGTGGAAGAACTTCTTCTACAAACTCCTGTTGAAGGAATGGATGAACATCTTATAGAGTTCTCAGAAGCTTTGAGAAGTATGTTTATTTCATTCTTGAATGCATTTATGTCTTGCAATTGAACTATCTGTTGTTTATTTCATTCTTGGTGCTTATTATTTTGAACACATTACCAGCTGTTGCAAAGGCATTAAGACTAGCTGCTGAAGGAAAGGCTTCTGCACAAGCTGAGGCTGCTGAATGGAAATGTAGATATGAGCTGGAGAGAACCAGGAATATGCAGATGGAGCATAAAGGTTTTTAAGATTAAGCTGCGTTGCTGTTCTGTCATATATGTTTCATATGTTAGGTAATTCATAGATAATTATTGACAACACAAATTACTCTACAAGAGGAAAAAACTAAAGGCTTAAATTTGACTTGACAAAAGCTACAGATCAGGTTTCTTTTTCTAGGTGTTTGATTTACACCTATAACCTTATCTAGCTTAGTTAAAAAAATTTTTGCTGACATTTACAATTGCTTAACTGAATGGTGAATATTCAACTTCATTTATCTGGTTTGAATCTGTACTTCTCATTGGTCTTCCTCCTACTCTTACAACATGCTTGTTTTATTGACATTTTGTTTCTTGATGGTACACATTTGGTATTTAGCCCCATAACCTTGTAGCCATTAAGAAGGTATAAGAGAACACCTGAAAAGTTCTTTGTCATGTGAAGGTTGTTTTTCATTTTCTCATCTATTTGCATTTATTTATTCATAGCAGAACACTTCATCAGCTGTTATGCATCTATCTCACTTTGTTTCTACTTGAAAATCTCCCTGCATAGGATAGGTAAATGAGTTAATTTGGGATGCCATTGATCTAATTTACACTATTCTTTATGATTTTTATGCTATAAAACTAAATGAATATATCCTTAGTTTGTTAATTTTGAATATTTTAAATGTAAAGCATCTTTCGAGTTATATAGAACTATAATTTAAGACTCCTGTTGTCACATTAATCACACTTCCATCACGAGGAGGCTTCCTTTTATGAAAAGGTCACTAGATTTGACAGCCAACCAAACACCTGTTAGGATGGCCTTTAATTCATCTTGAATTGGCTAAAGAAAAATTTTTTAGTTGATGTGGCATTCCATTTAGACCATGTAATTTAAAATACTCCTCAAAAGGCTCCCAATAAAGCATCTTTACCCACATGTTTTTTTGCAAAAGAATTATCTGTTTTCTGTTTTAAAGTACTGCAGGGACAGGTTGCATGTCAGCCCTTCGGAGGCTGCTAAACAAACAGTAGTTCTTAGTGAATCTTTTAGTTGTAAACTATTTTTGTGAAAGTGAAATTCTGAAATTGTGATCTGCAATAAAGTGTGGTTGGCTGGTTTTTTCATACGAGGTCTCACTGGGTTGATATGTGGGCTTATTTTTATGTACTATTAATTGCATTATATTTGATATTCTAGTTCAATTATCACCCATTCCTTTTGAAACCATGGAAAGAAACATCATATATTGAAGCCTGTTTGTTTTTGATTAATTAGCTACTCCATCATCTATTATAACTGTGTTGGAACTATATGGTCATTCCAAATATGTGCTTGAAGTGTGAGCCCTAAGGACATTTTCCCTCTTTTGACCTTTCCTCGTGTCATCCCTTTTGCTTAGATGGATCTTTGTCTTTGATGTAATTTATTTGTTATGTGATATGACTTTTAATTAATAGTATCAGTTTGGTCCAACATCTTGAGCAACTTCTCCACTCTATGATGCTAAAGCTAGGCGAAACAGGATTTGAAAAACAAATTTTAGGTATTTTAAAGTTGAAAATAAGGTTCTGGAGACTAAAACCTGAAACTCCAACTTGGAATTTCTAAAGAATTGCAATGTGACGCTGGTAGACAAATCTAATACAATGTTGTTGTAGACAAATTGTGTTTTTAGTTATTCAAATAATTTAAATACGACAACACTTGGCCAAAAGCTCTACATCCGCGGCACTTTTTGCTGCAACTCCATCCAAACAGACATTCTATCAAATATTTAACTAATCTTTTTTTCTATCCTTCATGTCTAAACTGTGATACTGGTTGGAACATGCTTAATCATCCTCATTGATTTCTTAACTTTCAATCTAGCCTGGTTTTGATCATAATCTCAAGTTTTTCTAGTTCAATTTTGTTGAGCATGAAGTCCAAAAGATATTTTGGATTGATATAGAATATATTATAGAACTTCGTTTGGATTTCTCATTGAATATACTGTATGAAATGGAGAGATTTCCAATAGCCTTGATTTTGCAAAACGCTGTACGATGTATTTTCATCACTCTGAATATTTGGACATTGTCTTTGTTTTCCACTCTCTTTTTTTTTTTTTTTTAAATGAATAATTTTGCTTTCTTCTTCTTCTTCTTCTTCTTCTTTGAAGATTTGCTCATCTCCTCTTCTGTGATTTTCCTTCCTGCTATATAATAAAAGTTACTTATCATAAGCAGTGATAAAGTTGGACTTGCTTCATTACATGGGAGCAGCTTTCATACGATCTAGTTTTCTTGTTTCACAAGTATCAAAAAATTAGACTATTTGTTTGGTTTTGATGAGCTTGCTAATCAAATTTGGACTTATTATTATCAGAATCTGGCTATTCCAGTATCAGGCAATAATATTTGTGAAATGCTTCGAAGTTGGTGGACTAGGACTTCTCTAGATAATGCAATGGAAATTATAAGAATAATGCTTCCATGTCTTGTCTTCTGGGAATTTTGGAAAGAACGAAATAAGAGAGTATCAGAAGGTACTGGCTTAAACTTTTGCAGTACTGTCAGTCATCTTGCTGCTTCCATTAAAGAATCATCACAGCCTAGCTGAAAGAATTTGATGTGTTTCGCTGGTTGAGATTAGTTATATGAAAACTTGACAGCATCCGGAAAAACTGTCACAACAACAAACCTTGTTCAAGTTAGTTCACTTGCAAGAATTGTGGGATTCTATTGCTAAAGGTTTTAGGTGATGCTTATGTTGGTGCAATTAGCTCTATTAGAGGTGCATAAATGGTTAGATGGAAATAAAATGGTTTGGTTGTTTAAGAAATGTTTTCTTTGAAATGGAAGCCAAGTAAAAGGATGGTTACTGCACCTTTTAGCTCTTTGTGAAGGGTGATGGAATCTGGAGATATTCATCAAGTGAAGCAAATGAGATGTAAACTATGCACTTAATCTTCCCTGCTATAATGCTTAATTCTGGATGGTAATACCTCCATAGAGTTTTACTCGTACTTTTTAGTTTAGGATTCCTTAGGATACACATATAGAGTGTTAGTTGTATGCTTTAAGTGACTTCATTCACTTGGGTAGACATTGTCATCATTCATTTTTTATCTTCTCAAACTGGTCTATTTAGGGGTATATTGGAAATGCTGAACATTTTTGCATGAATTGGCTTCTCTAGTTACTTACACTTACTTAGTTGGGCTTGAGAGCTCCAGAAGGTTATCTATTGCAGCAGAGAATGGCACAGACTTCTCTGATTCTTATGTCTTATCAGTTACATTGTGTATCAGCACAAATTCACATTTAATTCTTAAAATACAAGAGATTTGTCCATCCTCTTTGTATGATGTATTAGGCATTCAAATTCTAGTGTGGCTTCTGTTACAACTATTTTGATGAATTGTCATTGTAATAATTTGTTCAAGTTCTTGTAGTCATTTTTGCTTCTCCATCTCATATTTAATTTTGTTACTTCAACATAAATAATTAGTTATTTCCTTTCCAACGTAGTTTTATTTTTTTATTTCTTATTATTGCCTTTCATTCTTGAATTGATAAAATCCATAACATTTTGTGAGGTCAAATTTTCTTTTGTTGCTTTTTATTTTATTTTATTTTCTTTTCAGGTTTTAGTCATATTATCTGTGCGTCGATATTTGTGATCAATCATTCAAAGCGATGTTGAGATAGAAAGGGATGTAAATCATAGGATTCAAGCAAGATGGGTGAGGTGGCGAAGTGCGTTGGATGTGTTGTGCAATTGCAACATGTCTTTCAAGTTAAAGGCAAAGTTGTATAAAACAACTGTAAGGCATGCATTGTTATATGAGATTGAGTGTTGGACTATTATTAAGAAACAACATAAGAAGAAAATGAGTGTAGTGGAGATGGGAATACTTAGATGGATGTGTGGTAAGACAAGAAAAGACAAAATAAAAAATGAAGAGATTTGAGGAAAATTAGGGGTAGGCTGAATTGAGGAAAAGATGAGAGAAGGCCGTTTGAGATGGTTTGTTTGAGATGGTTTGGATATATGAAACGTAGGCTTGTCTGTGCACCAATTAGGAGAACTGAGCTTCTGGATTTGGGAGAGACCAAAGCTTCTAAAGGTAGTCCATGAAAACGTGGATGCAAGTAATAAGAGATGATATAAGGGTTAAGGAAGTAGATGAAAAGATTGTTTTTGATAGAAATGAGTGACGCAAGAAGATTCAAAACTACAACCTAACATAATTCCTTTTTTGGCTTTTCATACAGTTGATCCCAGAGTTATCGGATATAAGACTTAGTTTGTTGTTGTTGTTGTTGTTGTTGTTGTAGCCATATTAACCTATTGGCAAGAAAACGCTAACTATTTGATGATAATAAAAATAAAATCTTCTCATGTGAATATTTACTCTCAGTACCTATTCTGGTTGTTGGGCACTAGGGCTAGCTTATGACCTCTCAGAATCTGAGTAAAAGTAATTAAAGTGGTTTTCTGAGGTATATTTTTTCTAGTTTATGTCAGCTAGCATGAGTTTATTTAAGCATTGTATATGTTTACCCTATCCTTTTCTGGCCACATTCTTACATTTCATATTGCTGAACCAACTTGCTATTGTTGACTTTTTGTTTTTCGTATTGCTGAACCTACTTTTTCCCCCTTCTGGCCAAAATAGTTGAGCAAGCTGGCTGATTGAGGCAACTATTTAAGATTTTCTTATGCAATATATATAGTTGGTATCTTCTTCAATTACATAATGTTATCTAAAGTTGGAACCACTGAAAAGGAAACAAAACAGTGGATGAGGATAGTTATTGATAGATTGGTTCAGAGGAGAATGATAACAAAAGGCCTCACTCTGTTGTACGGATTGCACATGGCAAACCTATGATTGATGGTATGCCTCTTTTCAGGAAAAATTCTTATGGGATGTTGCCGATATTTTATTAAATAGAGTTGAGTACTTTTATCATAAATATTCTAGCACTTTAGGCAGGAGAAAAAAAAGGACTTTCTAAAATAATTAATTTAGTAGGGGAGGGAAATTTATCTTCCATATAAATCCTTGATAAATTATCTTATTTCTACATTACAGCTATTGAGATGTTAATAGTCCTTTCTAGCTTGAGTGTGTCTCTATGTTAAATATCGGGGAGGAATTATGTTGGTGAGAAAAATTTTGATGATACTCGCTTTTTTTGGAGTGGAAATTGGTCTCCTTATGTCATAGATAAATGTGGAAGGGTATATTGGCTCTGTACAAAAGTTAGGAAACAGCTAAAAGCCTCCCATCTGATTGAGAGATAAATATATCAGTAGGAGACCTTGAATGTTGTCTTCATCACAGTACTCTTCTGTGTCAAGGTTCAAGATGTTTGGGGTTACACTCCAGATTAGCGCCTAAATACAGCCATACTTAGAGTTTTGTAAAAATGGTCATAGAAGCCCTGACTTAAACCTGAGAATTTCTTAAAATTGTGAACATCCTATTTGTTTGGGCTCCTATATGTCTGTTAATAACTATTGTTCTCATTCTCATTTTAAGCTCTTGAATACATTGAATTCCTCATTTTTTTTTCAAGTTTTATATGTTTTTACTTCCTCTGCGGCGCTCAAAATTTAAAGTTCCTGTACCTGATGGTAATGATTATGGTTTTCTATTACACTTTATACTTGTGTATGTATTGACCTCTCTATCTGGCTTTAAAGTCTCACGCAAATGCTTGACTTCTTTAAAAATTGCTAGCTCGAATTTTAGAGCGGTTCTCTGCAGAACCAAATAGTGATATTGATTGTGGGAGGGTAAAGAACTTGGACAACCAATTGATGCAGCAGAACGAACCACATGATCATTCTGAGGAAGTCTGTATGAAGCATGGGATTTGCTCCCATGAGGTTCTTCGGGACAGAGAATCAGATTTGAATTCCAATGTGGATTGTAATAGGATGATGAAAAAGGTACTGGTTTCTCTTATTAGCCTTTTACATTGAATCAATAACCTTCTTGCTTAATTGTTTTTTTTTTTTTTTGTCTTGTACACTTAGCATCTGTCTGTTTTGATCTTTTGTTTAAACCTTTACTGTTTCCTGATATTATTTGTTTCATTTGGACAAAATTTTGGAAAGCATTCCTTTCATGGTTTTAGTATTTCTGGATTCAGCTTTTCTATTTTTCTTTCCATAACAACGTATGCATTTTCTCAAAACTAATTTTGAGGTAGCTACAGCTGTTGCCTGTAGGTAAACAAACATAATACTAAGTGATGAGAAGGAAAAATTATCCAATTCACCAACTGAAGTGATTACTACTATAAATGCTTGGATCACATAATTGAAAACTTTGTTTTGTGTGACAGGCATCATTTAAGCTTTCATGGTGGTGCAAGGGTGAGAATAGTGATCAGCACAAACATGACATTGTCTCTTTTGAAAAAGGGAATATTACAACGGCAGAGCGCAGCAGTAAACAGGTATTGCTTCCTCTATCCTGTTAGGAAGCTTCTGTTTGCTGCTATTTTATAAGTAATTCAGTTTCTATTTTGGACTGATATAAGCCTTTTTTTTTGTTTCTTAGTATCTTCTCTTAGAATATTGTTTTTTTTATTTTTTATTTTTATAGCTGCAAGAATATTGTTTGTTTATTCTGCCTCCTGTCTGTTGTCTAGTAAATCATTGTTTCTTTCCAGATTTCTCTGAAGTGGGAATCTGACCCGCAAACTGTGCTTATTTTGACAAAACCAAATTCAGTTTCTGTTCGAATTCTTTGTGCACAAATGGTCAGGTTTGGATGTTGAAACTGATAACTAGCTTTACATTATGTAAGTCCGAATGCAAGTTTTCATGCAACTCGCTTTTAGTTTCATGCCTTAACTAATCACTTCAAACTTTTTCATGATATTCGAAATAATTTATCTTTTATTGCACTTTACTAGCTCTAGAGTTCATTATCCAAAAAAAAAAAAAAACATGCACACACTTGCTTTTGAGTTGCTTGTGTTCTTGCTTTTAATCAATTCTTCCACATCCGATTTTTGGTTGTAATACAAGTGGCTTGTGATGCACTATGTTATTCCTCTTCTCTGTGCCTTCCCTGAATGACTCATCCATGTCCTATGGTTTATTGTTGGGACCCTTTCTATTATGTGATGCTACGGTTTTTAGGGAACTTGAGCTATTCGTCGATAGATACATATATGCTCTTAAATGTATTCACTATCTTTAAGGCTAATAAGGTTTTAGTTCTTTGAAATATTTGTTGTAGTTTAGCTAATACTTACTGAAATTGCTATAAACTCTATTCGAGAAATAAGTTTGTTCAAACTCTTACTTCCATATCCAACAAGAAATTGTAAATAAACAATATCACCTTTTCTTATTATTGAAAATGACACATCTTTTGTCTTTTTCTTTCAATTTAAAATACAACTAAAAAAATATAAAATGAAGAAAACAAAGGGGCCTTAAGTAGGTATGCCCTTTTTGTGAACCTTTTTCCTTTTAAGGGCACATGCGTCAGTCAAGGCACTTGGCCTGGAGGGTTGTATGTTGTTTTTACTAGATAGCACTGTCACTTGACCACCCTGGTTGGAACAAATTTTAATTGTGAAGAAATTTCTGCTTTTAATTGTTTTCATAAATATTAAAGGTGGTAAGTATTTTTTTAAAAACAAGGCACTGCAGGATTTCCTAGTTCTGGCCACAAGATGGTGTATGGGTTGGTTGAGGTGTATGTGATATCAAATGCTTTAAGATAAAGTTTCCAATGCCTGTGTATTGTCCTTATTGTATTCTGAGGCCTTTCAACTTCTCTGGATTTGCATTAACTTCTTTGACAGTATGTGGGTCATTATCTTTATACTGTTGCATGCCTGTATGAATTAAAAGAGACAACATTTTCTTCTATTGCACATTTCTTTTTATCTGTCTCATTCTTGATTCGTAATCCAGATGGTTGAAAGAAAAGAAAAAGTTAAACATTTATGTTGAACCACGCGTGAGAGTTGAACTTCTGACGGAGTCATCCGACTACGATTATATACAAACATGGCAAGATGGTGAGTAGCTAGTGATTTATGCTTACCGTCAATTTCTGCTTATTAAAGTAGTTACTTTTACATTAATACCTAATTCATTGTGAATCAAATATTTGATCCTTGGCTTATTACACCTTTGATGCTGCCTGTAAAGAAGCTTTAAATATTGATGTTCTTGGTGGTTATTTCATTCCTTTTTCAGTTTGATTTTCTTTTTTTATACAAATTTTTAAAATACTCCTGTTGTTCAGATTCATGTTGTTAGACAGTCAATACAATGTCTCTTTACTCGTGGTTGAAAGTCACGTTAAGGAATGTGATATAGGTAGCAAACAAGGAAACAACTAGTTTTAGGAGGAGGTTTCCATGTAGTGGAACAGTAACCTGAGAAGATTGTAGCAAGAGAGAAGAAAGAAAGGCAGGAAATTCTCTATTTACTCTAATAAAAAATTCTCCAAAAATCCTCGATAACTCAAGTGTTTTATTGTAAATCAACCCTCCAAATATGCTGCCAAGAAATGTAAATATGCAAATATTAGCTGCTTGTAAATAGACTAGAACTCTGAAACCATTACACATAGTCATAAAACATAGGTATTATAAACTAGAGACCACATAAAATCCCTAAATACTCAACCTAGAATACCCCAACAATCATGACTAAAGCCCATTTTAGTAAATCCAAAAATTACCAAAATACCCTTGACATGCCAAAGCTTTATTAAATTAATAAATATTCATACTGATGACCTGCTAACTAAAAAAGACACCTTCCTTTAGGCCAAGGAGGATTGTTTTTTGACGGAGAACCCTGATCTTAGTCTTTGGCTTCCTAAGTTGATATATTATTACTATATACTAAAGAAGGGTTTGGTGACACTGTTGTGAGAACAGCATAACGTCTCTCCATGCCACTGTTCATTAAACAGTGATCTTCAATTTTGATTTATCCCTTATACTTTTTGTGGGATATAATTTTTATATTTTATTTCCTTTTCTTTTTCTCTATTATGCTTTGAATTTGTGTTTTTCTCTTTTACTTTTTTTTGCCTTTATCACTTTATTAACATAATCTTTCACCTAATTCATTAACTAATATAGTTTTGCACATTAATAAAAGAATTAGTTGCAATGATAAATTTATTAATTCATTTAAATTTAACACTTTTATGATTATTGCTGATTTTGCTACTTTATATGTAATCTTTCATTTTTTTAATTTTTTAAATTAACAATTAAGTGTGAATTGTGAATTATACTAATAAATTTTGATTGGATAAACATTTTAATACTTATATTAATTAACCTATAGTTCAAAGCTTAAATGATGTGAACCAATTTAGAAAAAGAACATCTATGATCAAGTTAGTATTGAAATTATAAACATTTCTAAACTAAAATTTCATGCATTTTAAGAAAAAACTTTTTATTTAGTAATATCCACTTGTAAGTCAACAAGATATTTGTTACTTCAATCTTATTTCAATAATTGCAATTTATTACAATTAATTAACCAAAAAAAAGTTTACTTGCCACTGCTAGTGCAGCAAACCTAAGCTTGTTTAAACTAAATTATGTGCCACTGCTTGTTATATTGGTGCAATAGATGACCTGCTGTTGTTTTTATCTGAATTGATCAGATTACTTTTTTTTTTTTTCCTGATTAGCTGACTGCAGGTCAGATGTCAGAATAATTCAAGGTGCCATTTAAGGTTGGTAACCCAAGACCCAACCTGACCCCAACCATTTGGGCCAGGCTCTTGGTTCCTTTTTTTTTTTGGATCCAATTAAGGGGGAAAGAATGGAAAAAAGAAGAAAAACTACTTTTTTTTTTTTTTTTTGTGGAACTAAGAGCCAATCCAATCTGACTGCCTTGTTCTGAAGGAAATTAAATCCAATCTTGGCCCAAACATCTTTTGATCCGAATTTTATCCAGCCCAGTCCAACAAACTTTGTACAATAATTATCCTTCATCCACCAATATCTCATAATATATATAATTGCATTGATGCTAGGGTTTTAGGTTGATTCTTTCAAACAAACATGAAGTGCCCTCTTCTGTTTTATTCGCATATAAGCTTTCCGCTACTTATGATTTGTTGGTTATATCATAATGCATAAACTGAAGAGAAATCATCAAATCATTCCAAGTGAAACATGCACTTTAATTAATAGCCCTTTAAGTGAACTGCTTAATTTTTTAAAATTAAAGTTCACAATTTCCTTAGTGAAATATTCAAGGTGAAGAGAGGACTTAATACTGAATTAGGTCATATTTTATTAGAGGTTATTTCTATGTTAAAAGCTTTTAGGCATGGATGATATTACCCCTTAAGGTTGTTATAATTTCCTTTCCTCATGTTCTGTTAGTAGTACTAAGAAAAAGATCCTCATTGAACAGTTTTTAAATTCAAGATTGCTAATTACCAAATAATTTAATTAAATTGGTTATTTGTTTTATTAATTCATTGCTTATTGGTATTTGGAGCAGATGATTCTGTACTTAATTTTTAATACTAAATTAGTTTGATGTATATTGTCATGTAACTATGTTTCATGTTTGGATTATATTCTGATTTCTTATTTAGAAGTTATGTGGCTTTTTAGACGGGGAAATCTTGCTTCTACACACGAAAGTTGATCTTGTGATAACTCTTGGTGGTGATGGAACTGTTCTATGGGTATGTTGTTTCAGTTTAATCGAGCCCATATTTTTAAATGAAATGTCAAACTTTTGAGAATATCAAATTATCACTTTGGTTGGTGCAATTGACTTTTTGTGTTGGAACAAATGAAATTTACATTTATTTTTTTCTATTATATCTTTATGAAGGATGTTAAACTTTGTTAAATGTTTGTGCCCTATGCCTGTATTTTGAAGCTTGTGATATACCATCCTAACTGTGAATCCCCTTTAGAGCGTAATGAAAACATGAGAAGAGACAGGTAGTTTAGAAAGCCTATGCATTAGTGCAAGTGGAAATTAGTAAAATTAACTTTGACTGCAGTACACAGTTGATTGTAAGATATCTTATTCATAAATTGGGACGTTGGTTTGCTAGAAAATATGAAGAACCAGTGTCTCTCTGCTTCTCTTGTTATTTCAACTGACATATCCTTGAAATACATTCTCAGTTTGACTGTTACTTACGTTGGTTGTTTTCATATTTATTTTGGATTTCTTCTGAATTCATGATTAGCATCATTTATCATCTAATTGTTCTTTTCAGGCAGCATCAATGTTCAAGGGACCTGTTCCTCCGATCGTTCCATTTTCTTTAGGGTCTTTGGGCTTTATGACTCCTTTTCGTATCCTTCCATCTTTTTGAAGTATATCTTTAATGAAAGATGATTAAATTGATGATTGAACATGGTTATTTTGAACATTGTTTTTGGATTGTAATTGAGAATGCTTGTTAAGTCTCATATCAGAATTAAAAAGAAAATTCTTTGACTTGTTCTAGATAGTGAACATTTCAAAGAATGCCTTGATTCTGTCCTGAGGGGACCCATCAATATAACATTACGACACCGCTTGCTATGCCGTGTTGTTAGAGATGCAGCTAAAAATGAGTATGAAACCGAAGAACCTATTCTTGTTCTGAATGAGGTTACAATTGACCGTGGAATATCATCATACCTCACTAATCTGGAATGCTATTGCGACAATTCTTTTGTCACATGCGTGCAAGGGGATGGTTTGATTTTATCAACTACATCTGGTAGCACTGCATATTCATTGGCAGCTGGAGGATCAATGGTCCACCCTCAGGTACATTCTGAAATCACCATAACTGCCAATAAATCTGAAAAAATCATGCTTTACCAAATATAATAAGAACATGTTAGATGACAAAAATTTCTAAGACATTATGATTTATTGCTTCCATTTAGATTGGTTTCACAAAAGATAATATTATATTCAAACAAAGAATAAGATTTATACTAGTAATATTTTTCTAACCTGTCAATGCTGCCTTGCTTTCTTGAAACACTGTTTCAGATGAACGGTTAGTTTTAAGCTATAGTTTAAAAGGTAATGAGCTATTAATATGTGATGAAGGCATTAAGTTGTTCAAAGGAAATTAGAAGAGTATATTCTCTGTGAACTCAGACTTCTAGACCTGATATTTTTCCTTTTTACAGAAACGTACAACTGTCTTCTCTGTTTGTACTGTAGAGAAGTAAGGACGTGGAAAATTTTCTGACTACATAATATTTTTATATGACCATTCATTTGAAATGCAACTTCCATTTTGTTACATAAGGATATCCATTAGGTCTTGTATTTCATAACTCCCCCCTTGCTCTTGTTTGCTCCTATCAGTTTGAACTTAAGACCTCAAAGTCTCAAGATCGAACCATTGGGCTGGGGTGAAATTTAACTTTAAACCAGGTAATGGTGCTCATCCATTAATAGAACTTTGATAACGATGACAATAGCACTGTCCACAAGAACAGTATTTAAGTATGCTTTGTAGGTTGTACAAAAATGATAACTACATTAGTAAGAAAAAGTGAACATCAACAATAAAAAATAATTTGTCATGTTCTGCAAATTATAATCTTTGCCCCCTTGCTCTTGTTTGCTCCTATCAGTTTGAACTTAAGACCTCAAAGTCTCAAGATCGAACAATTGGGCTGGGGTGAAATTTAACTTTAAACCAGGTAATGGTGCTCATCCATTAATAGAACTTTGATAATGATGACAATAGCACCGTCCACAAGAACAGTATTTAAGTATGCTTTGTAGGTTGTACAATAATGATAACTACATTAGTAAGAAAAAGTGAACATCAACAATAAAAAATAATTTGTCATGTTCTGCAAATTATAATCTTTGCCCCCTTGCTCTTGTTTGCTCCTATCAGTTTGAACTTAAGACCTCAAAGTCTCAAGATCGAACCATTGGGCTGGGGTGAAATTTTAACTTTAAACCAGGTAATGGTGCTCATCCATTAATAGAACTTTGATAACGATGACAATAGCACTGTCCACAAGAACAGTATTTAAGTATGCTTTGTAGGTTGTACAATAATGATAACTACATTAGTAAGAAAAAGTGAACATAAACAATAAAAAATAATTTGTCATGTTCTGCAAATTATAATCTTTGGTTACATTGCAGACTTTGGGAGGGGATGGATGCTCATGGAATTCCCTTATGAAAAATAAAACCATGATGAAGTCCTTTTTATCATTCATGATGCATGTGTATGACCAAGGTTCGAATGTGTTTCAGATTTGGTTATCCGTTGTGGTATAGTATCTTTTGAGGAATTCCAGATGTTTTGACTGAGAAGTAACAATTTAAGGGATGTAAGGCTGATACACATGCTTCATGGACTCTCTTGGAGTAACAGACTAGCAAGTAAAGGACTCATTGTAACTGCAAGATTAACAAATTAAAGAAGCATTTTTTAGTATTTGGTTGACAAGTTTTCTCCTTCAGAGCATCAATAATTCATGATGCAGATTGGTTTTTAACCAAGTTAGATGTCTAGGAAATGAATATTTGAAATGACAGTTACGTTGAATGCCTGGCAATACTAAGAAGCATTTTGGTGACATATTTGAAATGCACATTTGGCAACATATCACTCGGGAATTTATCCTAGGTGTTGTTTCATAATGTTGTTTCATTGCCACTTTGTTTTTTTGTTGACTTTCAGAATGCAATCATGATCGTTTAACTGAAAAATATATTGCTGGTACGCTTGTGTAATTGCAGGTCCCTGGTATCTTATTCACACCAATTTGTCCACATTCATTATCCTTTCGACCTCTGATATTGCCTGAGCATGTAACAGTGCGAATAATGGTGCCTTTTAATAGTAGAAGCCCTGCTTGGGCATCATTTGATGGCAAGGACAGAAAACAGTTGGCCGCTGGGGATGCTCTTTTGTGCAGCATGGCACCTTGGCCAGTGCCTACAGCATGTCAAGTTGATTCTACTAATGATTTTTTACGCAGCATCCACGATGGTCTCCATTGGAATCTGAGAAAGACCCAGTCGTTTGATGGCCCTCGTGATTTATAGGACATTTATCCCAACTTCAGTTCAGCATTTCTAGTTGGAATTTAACTTATATAACATTCTTCAGTCATTGTAGGAAAGGGGAAAGCAAATTCAAAAACTGAAATGTCTAGTTCTTATCATGTATTATAAGGAACAGTACTCTATTTGTCCTTCTGCTGATGAAAACGAAAATTGTAGTCGAACCGTGTCTATGTTAATCATGAAATAAATAGATGGTTGGTTAAGTGACAAAAAAGGGTATTTTTTTTTGTTGTTGTTTGGGTTAGAATTTGTTGAGAGGTTGTAGGAAGGTAATTTTTTTTTATAAATCGTCATGCCTATCGTGCTTAACATGAAAAAGCTTGCTTGGATTGATTCAAAAAGGAAATGTAATGAGTAAAATTCAAGAATTATTGCATTGGATTTGTCTGAAGAAGAGATCTTCGGAGTAAAATTCAAAAATTATTTGCCGTTTAATAGGAAATAATAAAAAAGCATTTTACAGTCAGAAGACCAGCTGAAGATTGGTTATACAAGATTGTGTAAAAGGACAAGGCCCGAAACATCAAGAAATTTGCATAGAGCACCAAGAGAGATTATCTAATTTTTTGCTGCATTGGACTGAAGTTGATAGTACTCGCAAAGAGATTATGAAAAGATTAAAGAAGAGGTTGATGAAGGTGACGAGAAATATTTGCATTTGAAGTAATTAAAGATTGATTTTAGAAATGGGTTATAAAGCATTAAAGCCATTTTCGTTGGTGCTTAATCATGTGAATTAAACTCGTTTTTATTATTATGAAATTGTAAAGATAGGGAGCGGTTTTGTTCGTTCAACTCATGATAAGGACAGTGGTTAAAGTGAGTGTGAAGTTTAGCATTTTTATTTGGAGGTGCCCACGCTATCAAGCGAGGAGCTTGAACATTGACCTCGTGAAAGGTTAGAAGGAAAATAAATGGCTAAAATACTAAATAAGTCCCTAGACTTTCTCGACTTTCTCAAATAAAGACATGTACCTGTATTCAAGGAAACCTACCGTGGGAGCCAAGCTTCCCTTCCCTGAACTATGATACCAGCAGACCTCCTTCCAACCTTGGGATATTTAACCAACATAAATCACTCCAATGCAGCGTTCTCCTCGTGAGCCTTCTGAATACCCACCAAGCGAGCGTAATCCACCCACCTATAAATGCAAATTGGAAATTGTGATAAGTGAGCAGCTGCGGGCGACAAAATGACTATCCTAGCAAGTAAAATATTTGCAGATTGATATCAAATCTTACAATAGCGAACCCAAGTACGTGTTGCCTGTTCGAACAGCAAAGCATATTGCACTCAACATAAGCTTGTGCTGGTGTAGCAAAGGCTCCAAAATCCGCTGTTCGATTACACCAGCCAGCATTTGGTACCTATTAAAACCAAACAATATCCTCAACAAAACATGCCAAAATGTTACGACTCTCAATTCTGAATATTTGCTGATCATGGGATTTGTATTTCAAACATGTTTGTTTAACAGGTATGAATCTGGAAATAGACAATACCAACTTCAAACATCAAAACTGCTTCTCTACATGCAGAGAACCATGCTAAAGAATGAAATGACAAAGGCACCCTTATTGTACCACGTATTGACGACTTGCTCATAAAAATTTCAGCAGCTGTGGCTGCTGAAATAAAAACCATCCTTCTATTTATATCAATGACTGCATAAATCAGTACAATGCAGGCTTGAAACTCTGCCTTTGAGATACATCCCTACTGGTTTAGTTTACCAAAATGCCACAATTCCAATGAAGCATACTACATTTTCTGTAAGGAGAATATCCACCTAAGATCTTTCAATATGCATACTTAAAAAGTCTCTTATAATAGCTAAATTTTATGGCTAAATAATTCAGTAGCTAGATATATAGCCAGACACATACTCAGAGGAATCTCCCAAAAGAGCTGGTTTTCCTTCCTCTTTCTACTAAGCATATAACTGTATATTATCATGTTTCCTGAAAAATATCTTATAGTATCAATACATTCTTGCTACCTGTTAGCCTGATATGATGTTAGAAGCTAATGCTCCAACAAGACTTCAGACTTCAATAATACATTTAAATGATTTTATGTGATAAATCAGCAATTCAGCATCAGCCCCCAAGAGGACACCCCAGTGGTTAGATATTGAGATTCCAACTTGGAGGTTTACAATTTGAAGCTTAGAATCGGAGAGTTGGGGGATTATGGGATGGGCGAGGGCCACCTAACATTGTATAGCCCGGCGTTATGTCATATTATCAGAATGGAACACTTTAATGATAATAGTAAAAGCAATTCCATTAACAATAGCAAAATCCATGCCGTATGAACTAATATTCACTAAAAAATTAAATCTACGTACCTGAGGTTGCTAGAGACTGCCATATATACACCATAACCAACACTGGTGGCTAGTATGGGAACATTTTCAACTTCAGCTGCTGAAGACTTTTCAACAGCCTTTCTTGCATTAATTAAGGCATTTGTGACAGCTGTGCCAACCTACAAGAAACCAACTTTCATTAAATGCCAGCAAATCCAGATTTGGGTTTTCAGTTTGAAATAAATTTGCAAAAAGAAATGATATTCTTCATAGAAATGGAAATTGAAAAGGGAAAATAAGCTTTATTACTGTATATGATAGATTGCAGATAATCTTCTCAACAACTTGACGGAGCAAACAAATACCGGGGGAAAAAGAGTAAAAGCTGCCAAAAACTTACCAGCGAAGAAGTGGTGCCTACTGCAAAAAGCTTTGCCCCATTACGCTGCAGAGCACATACAATTAAAACACAATATGATGGTTTATTCTTACCTCAGATATTCGGATATCTTAAATTTTAAAAGTTCGGAAGACATGAAAGATCTCCTTACCATTACAGCACCTAATCTCTGCAAAAATGAATATGAAGTCCCAGGGAGGGCAACCTGCAGACAGAATTTCATGACCGTAAAACATTTGTATTTTAGCATCTTAGAAAGAATCTTTGCAAAATCTCCATGCAACTTCATCAGCAAAGATAAAAATAGAAACCTGAAAAGCGTTATCAGGGCAGCTATAGAAGAACTTGGAAATAGCTCCAGCGCCGATTGCAAGAGGAGGCCGCAGAGAGATGGTAGGAGCAGGAAGATAAACAAGCATGAAATCTGCAATTATGGCCATTACCTAGGAAAATGAATTGGAAAGTTAAAATGATAGAAATAACAGAGTTGGACATGTAATTCACAATAATCTATATTTTATGTGCTAATTGATCTTCAGGGTCAAGGAAATATGAATCATACAGCCACAATTTCTTAAGCTAAAAAAATACAAATTTCCAAAGAAAGCCTCATTGCTTTTCAAAATATCAATTTCTGTAGTTTATAAATATTGCTCACAAGAAAGTATCTATCTGCAATTAATTATATTGCTCAAATACAAATGTAGAATATAATAATTGGTGCTAAAACCTGACATATTTTTAATTCTGAGAAAAGAAACAGATGACAAAAATATAAAAAAAAAAACAGGGTAGAGAAGGATCTTTCTTGATGTTACTTATTAACCAACAGCCTTCACTAAATCAACATAACAAATCATCACCTATTATATTAGTTCATACTGTTTCACAGTCAAATGAAATACTAGAATCTGCAGCTGTTTGATGTTTCAAATTTTAGTCACTAGAAACGCATGACATGTTCACTTGGGACAAATTCCTAGATCCTCTTACTGTAAAGGCAAAAATCTGTCTTCTATTACTACATTGTGTCATTTAGTGAGTTGATAAAAATAAACTCAACAAGATCTGAATTCTCAATTCTCAAGACCCAATTTCTCTGACAAAACCTTAACTGTAATACAATCATATTATTTTCCCCTTCATCATTCAATAAAACTCCATCTCTAATCTGTATCAGATGATTGTTTAGCAGCCTAGTAGAGGATGAGCAAGCAAAACAACAGAAAGGTTTGGTTTAGTGTTAAAAGCTTAATACTATGGTTAGATTGCTAGGACGTGCATATGTGGCGTCATATGTTGGTTACTGGTGAGAATGAGACTCATTCATTCCCATTAGTATTGAACTACCAACTTTTTTACCACTATGCCCTAAATGGGCTTGGAGGGCAAGCTATGACTCAATCCCCTCGATGAATGGCATAGAGCATCTGCACCAAGAACCAAGGTCTACAAGCTGTATGTTTTAAGGCCCATCCTGGCATTGCTTCCCAAGTGGATAGGGGCTACCATACTCAAACCAAATTAAGGTTGCCACGACTGATAAGTGGCAAATCCATCTATCTTTTTTTCTTGTTAGCAAAAATTATATATAACGCTTGAGCTGTGAATTCAGCATGTTTATCCAATTACACGAATGATGACAAATTTTTTATGTATTTATAATTACCAAAGCCTCCTTTTGAACAATTTTAGTTAAGGTCATAACCAAAGAGAAATTTAAGCAGCTCATATAATTCATGTAACAATGATAAGTCAGCTGGCTTCTTATCTTTATGGAAATCAGAGCATTAAATGGATGATAACAGATTTATTTAAGTCATGATAAGAAATTTTTGTTTTTGATTTTAAGATTGAAAAGCAATAGTTTGTCAATCAATAAATTCCAAAGGACAAAATAACAGCCTCAAAGTGGCATCAAAATTCAGCATCACCATGAAATCAATATGTTTGCACAAAGACATCCTCAAATTTATTCTTTGAATTTGACCAAACAAGTTATTATAAAAGAAGGCTGAGAAAGTGCATATTTAAAAGAACTAGTTATGAGGTAAACAACCATACCACATCTGCAAAAACAACTTCGAGCTCGTTGAAAAAGTTTTCTCTGCGACGTTCATATTCTGCAGCAGTCTGGAAAACAGAAAATAAACATAAGTAGGTAAAACTGAATGAGCCAAGAAGAATGGAGAAATAAAAGAGAGACAGATGTCATTACAGAAAACAATCCTTTAAAAGTAGGACACTGGACACTGCACAAGAGCAAATTTTAGATCATGCATAATCATGGCTCTTGTAGGTTCAGTTGCTTGGGCTAAGACTTAACTAAGTTGTTTTACTAGCTTGCCCAGGCTGAGTTGCCAATTTGCCGTGACTCACAGCTGACAGAATCAGGAACATGTAATCCTAAAAAACTCGTACACAAGAAAGACAGATGGACTTCAGCACGGATAAAACCTTCCAACTCAATCAATGCAAGCACTTATGCATTCCATAAGCCCTTATTTAGGCAGTTTTCTTCCTAATATACGTTCTATTTTATTGATGATTCCATCTAATTTTGACTTAAAATTCAAAGCCAACATAAATCACAGGACCTCCAAAATTTGGCTAAGATTCATCCTACAGGCAAAGATCACAAGAAAAAGTAACTTCAATAAATCATAGGTTCAAAAAAAGAAATCAAGTTTTTCTTCATCACTTATCCAAAATCTACCTATAATTGCTACAAAATACCCATGATATATACACCAAAGTACATTTTTACTTATTTCTTAATAAATCACCCATGAACAACACCTTAGAATTAATTAATAAATGAAACCCGCATTATAAATTGTCATAGCAATAAAATGATGAAGTGAAAAAGAATAAAAAGGAAATCTTTGACAAATTCAAGCCCAATTAAAAAAAAATGAACAAATCTAAACCATCCATTTATATCATCAATAGATTCTATACTAAATACGGAAAAACCAAAAACACCAAAACCCAAAAGGCAAAAGTAAAAAAGAAAGAACGAAAAAATCATATGAACCTTGGTGAAGATCCCAACACCACACTCGATGCCAACTTTAGCTAAGAAAAGATCATCAGCCAAAAGCCTTTCTTTAAACCCACCAAACTGCATCAACCACCGCATAAGCCCCGACTTTTCAAGCCCCAAGAACCTCTCTATAACCGACCCAGGAATCCTCCCAGCTTGGATCGCCGCCACCAAGTCCTTCGGCAAACTCTCCATTGATCTCCTCGCCTCCGTCAGTACAATCATCGCCTCTTTCCTGTTCTTATCACCCGCATTATCATCACCACCCTTGCCTTTTCCATTGTCATTGTTTCCACCGCCACCACCTGAGTTGTTGTTGCTGTTAATGTCGCCACCATCACTGCCGAGAAGGGTGGAGAAGATTAAGAACGGGGAAATTTGGCGTTGACGGTGGCGGAGACGGGTGGTGGAAGTGTAGGAGGACAGGCGGAGGTGGAGGTGGAGAGGGAAAGTGGTGGAGAACTTTGGGGTGGTAGGATTGAATGATTGGGATGAGGATGGGGATGGAGAAAGAGTGAAAAGGCAAGTGGCGATGGACATTGGTGGCGGTGGAGATGGTGATTGGTTGTTTCAGAGTTTGGAGTATTGTTTCTGCTTGCGCTGTTTTCGAAGTAGTGTGTTATGGTTCGTAGTTGTCTTGGCGGGCGTTGGTTAGTAGTAATGATTACCAAAAGTTGAGGGAGGATTTAATCAGACGACGGGCGGGCTTTCTAAAGGGGTTTTTGTCTGGGGTTAAAATTCTTTCCTACTTTATTTTTCTAGCATGTGAAACACACGCTCCTCCTTTATTCACCATTTTATCAATAAAACAAAATTATTTCCTATACTTTTATTTCAAGAAAATAATATTGTGCTGGTATTATTTTCTTTGTTACATACGGGACCAAACATTTAGAGCATATTATATAATTTTATATAAGATAAAAAATATTAATGTAATATGATTTAAAATTTTAATAAAAATTTTATATAAATTTAAAAAAATAAAAAATATTTTGTATTTTATATGAAATAAATATATAAATTATTATGATTAATTTAAATTTAACTTTCGAAATTTGAAATGAGCATTCTTCTAACCAAAAAAAAAAAAAAGAAGAAGAAAAGTACGAGAAGTCTGATGTAATTGCCAACAACTTAGGAAGTCTCAGTCAATTAAGGTCAAATGAGCTGTTGGTTACTGGTTGCCATCCAAGACGACAACTGTCCACGCTCTGGTCCTCATATTCTTAACAATATTTGGTTTTATTTAAAAAAAAAAAAAAAAACAATTTGACTATAACAAAACCTAATTCAAAATTTTTAACTGAAATTTGTGAATTTTTTAAAATTAATTTAATAAAAATTTTGAATTAAAAAATTAAAAAATTATTATTTATAATTTAAATTTAATTTATGCTTATTCAATAATAAATATTAAAAATTTTATAGTTATTTTTGTTGCCTTAATTATACTTTTATGTCTGATAATTTTCTTTATCTATTTTTTTAGTGAAATATCTCAAAGTAAAGTTTTATTTTTATTTTTAATATTTATTTTGCTTTTAATATTTCAATTTTAAATTATATAATGTTATTTATCTTTTGATATTAAAAACCTTAAATAAAAATATTATTGAAAATTTTTAAATTTCAATATAAAATACTCTAAATTCAAAACGTTTTACCTTAATTTTCTTAAAAGTCAAATCATAAATTCACTACTGTTCTCTTTGAAAAAAAAAAAAAAGAGTCTCATTTTATATACATGCATACATACATTATATATATATATATATATATATGCTTTTAGTAAACTTATCCAGCAAATTCTTAAAATGACTTTTCTGGCAAATCATCAAATGTGTAGACCACGCTATACGTTCTGAAAATTAGGCCCATGTAACATAATATCCAAAAATTAAATTTGCCTAAAACCCAAAAAATATTAATAAGGGTTTGAATTATCCATTTAAGAATGGGCTTTGATAGCACAGAACAGAACAGACTTTGTCTATGGAGTATTAACTTTTGAGCATGGACAATTGTCTTCTGAGTTCTTTAAATATTTTTTAAAATTTTAATTTGTTTTTAAATATTCTAATTTTATATTTATTTAGTTGAATAAAACATTACGTATATAAATTTTCTTAAATCAATACTTTTTACATACTAACTTCAATGACATACAACTGATATAAAATGTTGATTGATAGATTGGACTACCCTTTGATGAGTCATTGATGAATTACATGACTATTTATATTTTAAAATAGAAAAGCAAAAAACTAAAGAATAAAAAATCTAGTAATTGAAAATTTGAAAAAAAAAATTAAAAATTAAGAAAAAAAAAAGAAAAAGGGAAGGGAAGGAAAAAGTAATAAAAAAAAAAAATGAAAGGGAAGGTAGTTGGGCTACCAATCTAGCGGCCTAAGCTAAATCAACTACAAATAACTCAAGCTAACAACATTGGTGACCACCCAACCTTCATTTTTCTCCTACCCTAGCCTTTTTCCTTTTTACCTTCTCTCTCTCTCTCTCTCTCTCTCTCTCTCTCTCTCTCTCTCTAATTCCAAGCCTTTTCCAATTTCATTAATTACAAATCACCAATCTACTTTGGACCAACCAAATAAATGGTAGACTAGGCTTCCTCCCATTTTTTTGTTTGCGTATTTTTTTCTTTCATCATTTTCCTTCATTCTCTCTCATCGATTTTTTTTTAATTTTTAATCTTTTTTTACTTTTTTTTTTAATTTTCAAATGTCATATTATTTTATTATTTTGTTTTTTTTTTAGATTGTTTTATTTCAAGTGTTTTAATTTATAAATAAAAAAATAAAAAAATAAAATTTAAGTTTTGCTAACATGGATAGACCTCACTTATTAAGAGGTGGCCTGTGCTAGTTGACGATTCTTTGTTGGCTGAAAAAGCCATATTAGTGTTTTATTAATGATGTTAGTCTTTTGGAGTGATCCATTTCTTTATCTTACCATGTTTTTATTCTTTAGGTAGCAAATTATGAAAAGTATTGTGATACAAAAGACAAATGTATATGTAATCTTTTTATTTTATTATTTGTTTTTGTAAATAATTTTTTAACAAAAAATAAAAAAAATTATATATACAATAATAATAAAGTTCTAAAATTTTACAAGTAATTTATTATATAGTGTTGCCACTTGTCTTTTAGGCAATAACTAAAAATTTTGAAAATTAGCATCATTATTTTTTATAAAAAAATTAACATCATTATTAAATAAGCTTAACAATCTTATAAATTTATTTGCATACCAACAATACATAATAGGATGATAATCTAAAGATAAATAATAAAGTAACAATTCAACAAAATTTTTAGAGCAAATCTCACCTCTTAAGACTAAAAAGTAGGAAAATGGCATTTTGGCTTTTGTCCAATCTTGTACCTTTCAAAAATCATGAAAATTTCAAAGTTTATTGACCTTTTAGCTTGGATTGAACATTAGTCCATTCATTTGCACTCATAATTAAATATAATCATGTACAATTTCCCATCTCAACTTGACTTCAACAAAAGAAAAAAAAAAAAAAACCTATACGGCATTACCACATCAAAGTAAATGAAAATTACAAAAATAAAGATGATTTTTACCGTTGCATTATGAGTCAATATTGAATTTTGGTGTAATACTTTAATCTATACCTTAATATAAAAGCTATCCTCTTAAAGAAGACAGCTCAGCGATGTAAAAACAAATGGATTTAGGGTAATTTTGAGTCAATTTTTTTTTTAGAAGCTTCATAGAAAAATATTCATAGCCGAGATCTAATCCCTCTTCTTTTCCTACTTTTCCCTTATTTCTTTTCTTATCTTTTCCCTTCCTTTTTCGCTAGTTAAATTTTTGCTCAAACAATCCAAATCTTTCATTGTTCGACTGAAACTTTTTATTTTTTTATTATTTATTATTTTTTTGGATTCCTCACAATTTGTGAAGACTACGATTTTTGCTTTTTTTTGTGTTTTTTTGTGATACGTGGTAAATTGGAGTATTTTGAGTATTCTAGAGACTAAAAAATTAATCTTGATTGGGTGTATGCATCCTAATCAGCATGCATTTTGACATTGGTGAAGGGTGACGGTTGAGAAAATTAAAAAAAAAAAAGAGAAAGAAAATCAAATAGGCTCTCTCCTCTATCAAGTCTCTTTTTTTTTTTTCCATTTTGTTTTATTTTACAGAGGTTGGTTTTTTACCAAAAAAAGAACTAGGATTATTGAAATAGTATCGTTGGCATCTGTTGTATCAAACTCAACCTCTTCACTTTTGGATAATAAGAAAAATAGCAAGAATCTTATTATCGTTATTGACAATTATGATAGTTTCAACTACAATATTTGCCAGGTTTTGATTGCATGTATAAATTTTTGTGTTCTTGGTCCAATTTTTTGCTTTTTCTAAATTTCCTTATGGTTTATGGCTTGATTCTAGAATGTTATTTGATTGCCTACAAATCTTTAGGAGAAAAAAATAAAAATACTATTGTTTGGCTCATTGAATTTTATTATACTTTGTATCTAAGAGAATATATGTTGATTGTTAGGGAAGACTTGATAATTTAATTAAAGTTGAGAAATCCAATTAAAACTAGTATAATAGGAAAAAAAACAAATTGGTTAGATTGGTTTCTTCTTCTAAGAATTTAGATAAGATACATACACATGTAAGTATAACTAAAAATTTATTATTGCATGATTATTAGTTTTTAGTGTTTCATTTCATTTTCATTTTTAATTGTTTGTGGCCTTTGGTGGTTAAATTAGAGAATAATGAAATATGTCTAATAATGTGAAAAAAGGCATCTATTACTTATAATAAAAAAAAGTTCCTAACTCTAATTTTCAATACACCTATTAAATGTCTTTAAAAAAAATTAGAGGATAGATTTGGGTCATCAAATATTCTTTACAACTATTTCCCTAACCCTTTAATAAGAAGCTTTTATGGCAAAAACTTTGATGTGGGTACTAAGGCTAAAGTTCAAAGTAAGAGAAAACTCCTTACTCTTTCATTAGTCTTTTACCCACTGATTCCAAGCACCCGAACCAAAAAAATTTCAAAAGAAAACTCTTTTTTTTCTATGTATTACTTGTATGATTAGATGTTTCATCTTTGGGTTGTTGGAAGCTTTTTTGATATTCATTTTATGATTTGTTTTTGCATGATTTGATTTGATTTTTCTTTGATTATGTTTTGGTGATTTAATGGGCTTTATCTTTAATCAAATTTAGGCTTTTTTTGTCCATCAATTACCTTTGAAAATGAAAATTCAATACATTCATTATGCTCAACTATCCATTTTTTTATCGGAGCCGCCCACTATAATCCCACATGCCAAGTATCCAAAATCAAAATTCAATTAGGAATTTTGCAATAGCCTTTTTGATATTTAATTCTCTGCAAATGAGTAATTTTTTTCACCTTTTTTATTTTATTTGCATGTTTTATGTACTTTTTTTTTATTTGCTTTGCATGCAATTCTATATGCTAAAAAATATTGACTTCTACTCAAAATGTTCCAACTAAAGTAATAATCAGGTTCCATTTTACAAACACATAGTTGATCTTTTTGGTAAAACCTACTCAATCATTCTTGTCCTTACCTCCATAGTTATCATTGGCAAAAAACAATTTGAAAATTGTTTGCTTATTCA